TAAAATGGTAAACAACAAAACATGAGACGTGTTATCCAAATAAAAACAAAATATTTTTGCATAAGCCGCATAAAACATAATGACTAAACAAAAACCTATTGATTATAAGATCTTAAAAAATAAAAGAATTATAAACAGAAACCTAGCACAACTAAAACTTATTTAAAACTTAATAACAGAAATTCGCTTAAATTTTTTTACTGACGAAGCGACGTTAGAACTTAAGGTGGCACAAGTCGCGGGCTCGAACTCGCTGGTGGGCGCGGCCAAAAAGCACGCTGTCTCACCTGGCATCGTGCCCGACAGAGATAGTATCAGTGATGAGCATATCGACACTAGTATTCACGCACGTCTTGTTCGTACGGCATTCAGAACCGTTTGAACAAAAACGAAGTTACACGAACACGATGCAACATTTATACTAATATAATAAAGCAGAAAATATAGATCTTTACTCCGTCTAAAAAAAAGTCCGCGATACCATATGTCTATTTTTTATATACTCGTATAAGCCACAATTAGGCATTTTTATTTTGACAAAAAAAAAATGAAAATTTAATTATTAGGCATGGCATATTTATCCTTACGAACGAAAGTTACTTCATTATCAAGACAATTTTTTGAAGATAAACTTCGTTGTTTATGCCATGTTTATATAGTACATAGTTGAGATAATGTAAAATTAAAATAATTCAATACTTGGCCTTGACGCGCAAACAACGCATAACCCCTAGCCCGGTGCGAACTGAGAAGCCAGTATTGAAAGCTTCTATGAGCGAGGTTAGGTTAGCCGTTAGTTCAATCATTATCTATATCTACACAAATAAATAAAATTGAAGTGTCTGTTATAATGTCAAAATAACAGCTTTTTACTAATTGCATATGAAATTATATACGCTACTTATAACACAATTTTTAACATTTTTCTGTCTGTCTGTCTGTTTGTTCCGGTTAATTTCCAAAACGGCTGGACCGATTTTGACGGGACTTTCACTAGTAGATAGCTCATGTTATAAGTAGTAACTTAGAATGCTTAAATTTTAGAAAAATTATTAGGCGTCCGTGCAACAAAATTAACACCCTAAACTAAATGCGGACGAAGTCGCGGGGAACAGCTGGTAGCTAAAATAAATTCAAAATTAATTGAGTGCTTTTATCTATCTCCCAGGTGAGCGTAACAATGATTAGTTAATTCTGAACTCTTTCATTTCACGTTGCTATGGTATTTTGAAAGTTTAATTGATTAATAAGTTTTTATTTTATTTATTTCTTTAAAAAAAAAGACGTTACCCCCACACTAGGATTTTCTCGTGTATCGTGGAGGCAGTTTACAAACACAAATTGCACAAGGACAAACATCCAGACCCGGAACAATTATTTGTAGGCCATACAAATACAAATACTTGATCCGTGCGGGATTCGAACCCGCGGCCCCCTGCTCAGCAACTCATTGCTAAGACACTGCGCCACGGAGCCGTATAAGAGTATAAGAGGTTGATAGCAAATGTATCAAGAATCATTTCTTGCCTACACACTTTTCATGTATCGTGTACGTTTTTCTTTAAAACTGAATAAAACCGCGCATAGTATGCCGACAGATAAAATAAAAGTACTTCATTAATTATGACAATTTTTCCATACATTATTATCAAATAAAATATTTGATTGCAATTATAAAACTAGGTGTCATGTCATGCCATGCATCTCGGACACATGATGACGCGGGTGAAACCGCGAAATGATTAGGCGCTGCTTTATCGCTTCATATTATACCTCTGTGGCTCTATATACCTAATATAGATTGCTTATTTTATTATGTTTAGTTTTTCCGAGTGGTTATGCAGCGATCACTCAAGAGTTCGGCTTCGAACGTGTGTAACTGCAAAAATTATCCCACGGGAACGAAATATTTTATATTACTGGGAGCCGCGGGTTCGAATCCCGCACGGAACAAGTATTTGTATGGCCTACAAATAATTCTTCCGGGTCTGGATGTTTGTCCTTGTGCAATTTATGTTTGTAAACTGCCTCCACGATACAGGAGAAACTCCTAGTGTGGGTGTAACGTTTTTTAAATAAGAAAAAAAAAATTTGTATGGCCTACAAATAGTTGTTCCGGGTCTGGATGTTTGTAAACTGCTTCCACTATACAGGAGAAAATGCTAGTGCGGGGGTAATGTATTTTTAAAAAATAAAAAAAAAATAAAATTCCAGACTATAACCTATCTCTGAGCAAAATATCATCCAGGTCCCTTCAGCGGTTCTGGCGTGATTGAATAACATACATCCTTTCATTCGTCCATCCAAATATCCAAACTTTCGCATTTATAATATTTAGATAATAATTGTAATTAGTTCTGCTTACCTATAAATTTTTTTCAAAAATACTTACCTGTCTTCTTACTTTTTTTTATATATACTCAATATCACTAAACGTAAACACAGGTTTTTATCAAGACAAGTGACCCATCAAGATTGTTTTCTTAGTACTGACGTACCTACCTAAAGTTTACAATTTTGTGGCCACGACGCGGTGACGTTTTGTGACATTTTGTTGTATTGTAGGTTGTAGGTATCTAGGTAATAACAGTAGGTACCTATGAAAATCCCACATAATATACCTTGTTTGTCCGCCGCAAGAGTCGTCTAATAAATAATTAAACTGTTTTGTAATTCTTTATTTATTTATAACACTTGCATTGAGAGCCGTGGTAGCTCAGATGGTTATCGTTCGCCGTAAGTATCACACTACGCGAGCAACCCGGGTTCGATCCCCGTCGGCACCAATGAAATTGTTGCAATTTTATATAGTAATCGTATATTATAGACTTAATTTTTTTTCTTTTATAATTATATTATATTACAGACGAAAATTTTACAAAATTGTCTGTCGTCCAAAACGCATCATCTCTTTCAATTATATCAATTTCCATGCTGTCTTTTGTCTTTGGCGTCCAAATTACAAAATAGCAAAACTTTTCGTTTCGAATAAAACTCGAATAAGCCCGCGTCACCGCCCGTGCATGTGTGTGTAAGCGTCGTCCTCCCGCACCGCACCGGGGCAAACATTATTCAGTGAGATGCACGATAATTCATAGTAACATACGCGCGTAAAAAAATACGAAAAGGCCTTTGGAAGAAGGGGTTTTATGAAAAAACCACTGCATAAATTAATTACGAATAAAATTTCTTGAATTCTTCGATAATTGAGCTGTGTCGGTACCGACTTTGTTTTGGAAATTTCACACTTCTTTTATTACTAATTTACGCCCAAAGTTGTGTTAAAATTGGCAATAAAAACGAATCTTTGGTAGCTCGTAACTTTTTAAAAACTTTTTATTTTACTATTCTGTTTCCGTACAGACAAATTTGATAATGAGACAAAACGATATCATGTTTAACTTTGGATGTACACTGTCAAACAGCGTAGTAAAACCCCTCCGAAATTTGTATGGAAATCAATGGAAATATTGTCGACTAGTGTCACCTTAAACGGTAACTTTTAAATATTCTAAACTTAAATTATTCGAAGTGGATTGCAATTAGTTTGCAATTTACAATGATTGTCTCTAAACTCAGACCAACAAAGAACGCAAGACGGAGCGCAGCGTACCTTTTTCAAGTGACGTAATAAACCTAGCCAAAACCATGTAAGTATTGTAAAAACACGCACTCATATTCATTATTTGCAACTAAACACATCGTTTCGGGTGTCGTATAGTCATGTGTGCGTACAGCAGTGAAAATTTACGGGCTAAGCAGTTGTGCGTGAGTGCATAGAATCACTAGAAATATATGCTGCGCTCCGTTTATCTTTCTCAGTGGGTTTGAGGGTTTAATAAAACATATAACCGAAACAGTGTGGTTGTTGTGTCAAAGTTTGGAAACAGTGAATAGATTTTCAAACATTGCCAGAAAGAATTGACAATTTTTTTTACAAATCAATGATAATACATACTGTTTCCTATTACTTTTTTTTCTTTCTTTTTCTTTTTTTAAATAATTTATAAAAATCTCGAAACCTTAAACTTACAAAATATTTCGTCGGTAGTTGTTAACTAGTAATTCACTGGCTAGATAGGTGATATTTCGAACTAACTGTTTTTAAATGTTTTGTAAAAGTTCAAATACTTACACACAAATAAATATATTTACTTGTGAAAGAAAAATCAAGCATATTGGTATTAACGTATTTCTTAATATAATCACTGGTAGGCTGAAAACAATACAAAATTATTAAATATATAAAATTTAACATGATTCTTAATTTAAGAGCCTACACAGACGAACAATTTTCGGGTGTAGATAACAACAACTAAGAACGCGGCGACGATTTCCGCTTTTTCTACAGACTTCGAAAAAGGAAGAGGTACTCAATTCGACTGTATGTCCTTTTTTATGTGGGTTACCTCATAACTTTTTCCTGCGTGAACCGATTTCGATGATTAGTTTATTTGAAAGGTAGTGCTTCTCATGTAGTCCCATTTAAATTTAATCAGTCTGACCAATAGTTTTGGAGTTATTCTTAATAATTTATATTGAAGTCGGTTGTACAAATTTTTTTATTATTGTAGTGCCAACATACCGTGTGGGTCGACCGCAAATATACAAGAAGCGAGTAATTAATGTTTAAAAATAATTAAAACTTTAAATTTTTAAACGTAGATAAAGCATAATAAGTTGGTATTACTTTAAGCTCGCAATAATTTTTATATATATTTGACTTCGGACACACTCGTAGACTAGCATTATGAATGTTTGTCTGAAATCAATTTTAAGGACTTAACTGGCTCGTGCAATAAAGTTGGAACCGACACTTGTATCACAGCGGACAATCAGCGATGGTGCAGCAGCTGCCCATCAGTCTGTAAGAGCTCTTACGTATGCTTTTAGAGGTCTTCGTGACTCTAATAATTATTTGGATAACACATTTCATGTCTACCACTAAAACATAGCACAACAAAACATTAAAAAAAAAAAAAACAAACAAACTTATTTATTCAGGTATCATAGTCTTCGTCTATTTGTAAGTTACCGGAATTTAAATGATCTATGTCGATTGGTTGCACATGAGCTATGGGTTTGGGTTCAATCTTTTTAGTTTCCACTTTAACTCTAGAGTTTTGCCTCTGCAATTTGGAATTCTTTTCGTTTTTTGGCACTCCCACGATACTAACGACGGCCGTATCAAGAACTTTGATTTCGGGCTTTGCTAGATTTTTCGAAAAGTCTATATTTAAAATCGGAGTCACTGGAGTGCGGGGCGATGGCGTGCTATTGTTTTGCCTTACATCTACGTAGAACTTAGTCTTATGTTCCTGCTTTGGTACAGTAACTTCGACTTTTTGTACCGCTTCAACAGGCGTTAAATTTATGTACCTCGAAGTTGATGGTTGTGGACTCGAGTAAATTGGATTAACTGTTATGACACTCGGATGTTGGACCTCGTCCACTAAGGTTTCCTGGTAGAAGTTGGCCGTTCGGACCGGTTTGGATTCTTCTAATTTTATAGATAAATCTATAGCTGTATCTGCGGCTTTTGGGGACGTAATCGTTTCAGTACGCGGTCGTATTGCCTCAGTCTCTGTCGGAAATTCTCTCTTCTTTATGTCTTTCGATAGTGTAACCTGTTGGGCTCGTATATCTGAACTGCTAGAACTATTGGAGTCCTCTCTGGCTATCCTACGTGGTGGGACTGACACATCTGAAAATCTGATAAAACATAATTTTTGGAGTAACATAACGACATTCAAAAAATATTATCGCCTAATAGTAAAGACTTGTAACGCCAGTGGCCGAATTCGGCCAACGATGGTTAATAATATAACTAGCACCAGATGTCGCTAGTTGGGACTGAGGTGAACTTATTTGTCACGCAATTGGTCACACAGTGTTATCATCATTGAAAATTTGCTTATGTAAATAAAAGCTTTTTGTTTACAAGGTTATGTACATTGAGTTATATGTACTACGTACTAGAGAAGTTATTCCAAACAAAAATTGTGCGCTACTCTGTCTTCGCGCATGCGCGGGAGATAGTAGAGTCGCGTATGCGCGAAGACTTTAATTTAATAGAAATAAGATATTAATATAAAATAAATATAAGAATTTACTATAAAATACTCTTATTTTAATCTAAACAAATATATTTCTAAATAAAATGTAATAGTAATTATGTTATGGAATTGACAAATGTTCAATTTATATTTAGTTTAGTGTACGGATTGCAGCACAGTTCAATTGAACATAGTCAATGTTCCGAATGCAAAATCTAGTACGTAGTACATATATATCGATGGTTATGTACAATATACACTTAAATGTAAATGTACACAAAATAATGCCTCTGTAGTGTGTTCTTTATTTATTTTTTAACTTTTTTATTTTATTTATAATTATCATTCTAGTTTTAGGATTACCCGTAGTTTGATTTATCTATTTCTAAATTAATTAATAAAAATATAACAAATATTTTAGAAGGAAACATTAATTGTTACTTATTTCTAGCAATTGATGTTTGTACGAGGGCGGCACTGAAAATTTCGGGAATCAAGGAAGTGACACAACATTACTATTTAAAAATGTATTTATTGCTTTTCGAAGTATTCTCCGCGAAATTTGACACATTTTTCCATACGATGGAACCAATCATTGAAGCAACCATTCCATTCGGAAGTTGGGGTCTCCAAAATGGCCGTTTTGTAGGCGTCCACAGCTTCTTCAGGTGATGAAAATCTCTGTCCACGCAATTTATTCTTTATTTTAGGGAAAGTATAGAAATCATTAGGGCTTAGGTCGGGGCTGTACGGCGGATGGTCTAATAATTCTATGTTTTCTTGCTCTAAAAACCCTTTTGTTCTGTGTGCGGTTTGAGAACTCGTATTGTCGTGATGGAGGATGATGCGGCGGTTGCAGTTCTCTTTACGGAGTTCAGAAACGACCTGTGGCAAACAAATGCTAGCATACCATTCTGCATTAACCGTTCTTTGTCCCTCAAGAGGAATAGTCGTAACATGGCCGGTTTTGGAGACAAACGTGACCACCTTTTTTTTGCAACACTCCGTGAACGAACAATTTTTGTTGGCTTTAACTCATTTTCGAACACCCAAACTCGTGACTGGTTTTTTGTTTCGGGTTCGTACGCGTATATCCAGGATTCGTCATCTGATACGATGTTGTATACAGCATTTGAGGATCCTGCGTGGAATCTTTCGAGAGTTCTGACGCACCAAGTAGCGCGAGTCGCTTTTTGCTCTTCACAGAGCGAATGCGGTATCCATCGGTATCCATCGAGAAAACAACTTTTTTACACCTAATTGTTCATGCAAGATGATTTGTATTTGACTCATGCCAATGTCTAAAGTTGCCTGAATTTCTCGGTATGTCACATGTCGATCTTCCTCAATCAGCTTACGCACAGCATCAACGTTTTCTTGGGTGACTGCAGTTTTTGGACGACCTTGACGGGGATCATCACTGAGCTTGACACGTCCACGTTGAAATTCAGCAAACCAGCGATAAATTGTGGTTTTGGATGGGGCTTCATCACCAAATGCAGAAATCATCCGGTCAACACACTGTTTTTGTGTTAAACCACTTCGAAAGTCATAATAAATCATCGCTCTTGAATTTTCTCGAGTCAATTCCATTTTCTCAACGACTAAACAACTTTGACAAAACCTTGTGACAAGACCGAGAATCTTTTTTTAAATAAATAAATGGTATTCGATTTTTAAAACCAAGGACTTTTCAATTAAAAAAATTTTAATATGACAGGAACAGTGGAAATATTTTATTCCCGATACTTTTAGTGCAGCCCTCGTATAACTTAATACTGTTATTTTCACGTGCAGGGATGCGTACTAAGATAAATCTAGCTTACTTGCTTACGCACAGCCATCAAACATAACTTAGGTATTTTTTCCCAGTGATTTTTTTCTTCTTTGTACACATCTATGCCAGAGTACCCTTCGAATATGTTACATTTTTCTACTTTCATAATAAATACTAAAAAAAAAGTTTCGTATGGTGAGTGTAGAGAACCGGAGACCCTTTCACTGGAAACGAGGCATTTCATATTAGCCTTCAGGGGTGACAACGCACATGTGTTTGCACTTTGATTTGATCGAGGATAAACGTAGATGTCTATTGGCCACAGCATCCATTTAGCATCAGGTGGACTGTGCTCGTTTGTCACCATTATTCAATAAAAAAAGGAGTCATAATATAGCTGGAGCGTGGCCCTACAACGTTACGAGAAATGCCTACACGACACGAGAAAAACTGCTAATTTATTTCAAGATAAAAAATCATTATTCATTACCTAGACGAGTTCGGCGAGCTTTCAGCACTCATCATTTCCTTTTCCTCTGCTGCCGATACATCTGGTATATTCTTCACCTGTAATAAAAATAATATTATTTCTACAGTTTTTTTTCTTTAAACAAATATGCACATACGTAACAAACCAGCTGTAACAGCAGCTTTATTTATGCTAATGTGTTTCGTATGGTGAGTATAGAGAACCGCAGATCCTTATTACTGGAATTTAGACATTCCATCTTAGTTCTCAGGAGTGACAACACAACAGCTTTTTGAAACTTAATTGAGGATATATGTAAATGTTTAAAGACCACAGCATATACTTAGGATTAGGTGGACTAAAAAAAAATGTAAAGTTGCAGCCTATTTACGTCCCACAACTGGGCACAGGCCTCCTCTCATTTCTGAGAGGGTTTTAGGGCAAGGAAATATTTCTTTTTCATATTTCTCAGACATGCAGGTTTACTCACGATGTTTTCCTTCACCGCCGAGCGCGTGGTAAATCAGCACTTAAAATTGCAATTAACAATTTCATTGGTGCCGGCGGGGATCGAACCTGGGTTGCTCGAGTACTGTGAAGCTTACAGCGAGCGCTAACCATCTGAGCTACCACGACTCACTATGACTATGTCACCCCTATACTATAAAAAGAAAGACCAACATAGGACCAAATATGTACTGTGAACAAAATACAATTCGCGATTAATACTCCACCTCTACATAAAATGTATGTGTAGAAAGAAAGTTGTAATAAAGACTACCATAAGTAATAATGACTACATATCAGGCTCGAGGGAATAACAGCGTTTTCTGGGATCAATCTTGAATCCTGCGTTGTTTTTCATTACAACCTACCAAAGTCCACTTCTGAAAATAATCCACCCCCACCGATTGCCATACAGGTTGAATATTTGCCATAGTTACCCCGCTTGGCAGGCGTGTTGGCAACCGCAGTTTTTTTTTAAGTTGTTATTAGGAAGACTACACATCTCCTGGTTTGTTTTTTTCTGTCGCCTCTTTCAACACCCACACGTGGTAGAACAATGCTACAGCTATATTAATTGTATAGTTGTAGCACGAATGGGTCGGCTCGACCGGGGAAAGACCACGCTCTCACAGAATACCAGCGTAAAATAGCAGCTTAACGCTGCTGTGTTTCGTATGGTGAGAGTAGTGAACGGGAGACGTATTAGTCCTCACGGATGTAGTATCTGTATTTTGATTCTTTGTTGAGGATAGATGTCTATGGGTCACAGCAACCACTTACAATCAGGTAGACTGTGTGCACGTATCTCACCCTATCCTATAAAAAAAAACAAGACGATATGGGGCAGTGGATATCCTTACACAGCCACTACACGTTGAGTATTGTTTTCAGCACGTAAATAAAAAATAAACATACGCCAGCTGTACTAGACGTTTCGAATTTTGACGCAGTTGTCAGTTGCCGATCTAGGCATTTAAGGTCGAGGACGATGGATGTTATTTAACAGAAATAAGAATAAAAGACGTGCATACTGTCTACCTGATGGTAAGCGCATACTGTGGCAAATAGACGCCTACTTAGTTTATCATCGATAAGAATCAAACGCAGATGCGTGGCCACCCTCGAGGTCTAAGATAAATAAATTGAAGAATATTGATTTCTCCCATGTTGGTCTGGAACTTAAAAGGTTCCATTTTTTTGTGGAATTAATAACAAAAACAAAAGGTCACTAATGGTATTTTGGGTTTGTGCTTGCGTAGGCTTTAGACTTACCAGCTATTACTTCTTTAACAATTATCCTACCAATCCCATATTTTTCAGGCTAAACCTGGTCCGAGTAACACGCTGCTCTTTGGTCTTTACCTACCTCTTCGAAAATTGCAGACGTGACGCTATGTATGTCATCATCATCATCATCGTTACAGCCTTTCATAAGTCCACTGCTGAACATAGGCCTCCCCCAAGGAATGCCACAAAGCACGGTCCTGAGCCACCTGCATCCATCGACTTCCTGCATGTCTCACCAGGTCGTCACTCCATCACGTGGGGGGTCGCCCTACACTTTGCCTACCGATACGAGGCTGCCACTCAAGAACCTTTCTTCCCCATCGGTTGTCGGTTCTTCGAGCTATATGGCCGGTCCACTGCCACTTCAGCTTACTAATCCGTTGGGCTGTGTCGGTTACTCTGGTTCTACTGCGGATATACTCATTTCTAAGTTTATCACGCAGAGAAACCCCGAGCATAGCCCTCTCCATAGCTGTAGTATTCTGTGTATGTGTAGTACCTAGTATGTATTCTTAAAGTTAATGTCAACTCACCAAATCCTTGAGGAAATCAAACCGCGATTCTGCTAGTATGCACTGCTTGACATGCGATGGGCTCAGGGTCTTCGCGTTCCTGGCAACCGTCACTTGCATTGCCTTGCTGAGCAATGACTCCACGAACAGTTCCAGGGTACGGGGTGTTGAGGTGAAAATAACTGAGTTAAGGGTTTTTATGATATATCGACAACCAGAATTAAAATTGATTAACGACAATCTTCTAAAATATTTAATTCAGTTTAGTTTAATCTAAAATATTTAATTATAAGGGCTAAGTGCACGCCTTAAATTTCCTTATAAACGAGTGACCCGCATTTGATCCCCGCCGACACCAATGAAATTGTTAATTACAATTGAAATTGCTGATTTTCAACGTACTTAGCGGTGAAGGACAATATCGTAAGGATACGTGACGCCCGCCAACACGCACAGGAGTACTCCGATGGACTAATTGCTCAATAATGCTCTCAGAAATAAGAGAAGATCCTCTCAGCCTGATTATTATCAGTGGGACATACCTATATAGTCTACAGCCTGATACTTTTTTACCTATAGTATAGGATACTTGCAGTATGTATTAGAGGCGAATAGGTAAGGATGTGCAAGTGCGATCTAAGTTCCTTATCGGACGGTACGAATTTGACGGCTGGAGGCTAGGCTAGAAAAAGTGGCGGCTATAAGAAGCGAGATGGAATAACATACATCTCCCTCGCACTTTTTTTTTATCTTGCCATGAAGGAAATATTATTTTATTTTAAATGACACTTTATTTTAATAGACGCTCATAATTCGCATTATTTGTATTTAAAAAAAAATAGAAAATATATTGATGTAAGAGATACTTATAACTTACTTTAAAACAGTGATAATATCACATTATTGACTAAATACATAATTATTTTTTCCGTACAGGAAACCTCAAAAGAAATCGAATAAAACCCGCGTAAATCTCTAACAACGCGGCGTTGACGTCAATCGCCTTACAGTAGTTTTAAAAAGCGCCTAAAAGAATTACACGTGCTCGCTGTTGGAAAATATTAAGGATATGTGAAGTCCGTCAACTCGAGCAGGATGAGACGCCCCCACGTACACACTCACACGTGCTTGGCAAATCCTACATGGATTCTTGAAGTGAAAACTTCTGTTCGTTGTGATTTTAAACTCGATGACACGAACACGCGACAGTTTTTTTTTTATATGACAGGGTGACAAACGAGCACACAGTCCACCTGATGGTAAGTGGTTGCTGTGGCCCATAGACACCTACATTTATCCTCGTTTACGAATCAAAATGCAGATGCGTTGTCACCCGTGAGGACTAAGATGGAATGCCTCTTTTCCAGTAAAAAGGGTCTCCGGTTCTCTGCACTCACCATACGAAACACAGCAGGATTAAGCTGCTATTTTACGCTGGTATTCTGTGAGAGCGTGGTCCTTTCCCGGTCGAGCCGACCCATTCGAGCTACAACTATACTACTAATATAGCTGCAGCATGGCTCTACCACGTATAAAACATTAAACAGAGTCAGTAAAAAGAGAGTCAGAGAGACAGTAAAAAGAGACAAACATATATGTGCATCTATAGGATTTAGCCTGCAAGAGAATATACCTAGTCAGGTCATAAATTCTGTCACATGTTTAATATAAAATAATTGAAAGAAGTTTATTCAATTTATATACCAAAATGAACTTAACAAAACATAGATTCTTATGACACTAAAGTTTATTTAAAATAACCTTCGTGATTTTGAATACAGGCCTTCAATCTGCGCGGCCAGTCGTCTATCGCAGCACGAACGAGGTCCATGTCAATATCGGCGGCTGCCTTAATCAAGGATGTGTTGAGTGACTCCAAATTGGGATGAGGCTTTGAGCACGCCTTTTCCTCCAAGTGTTGCCATATCTTGTAATCTAACGGATTCAAATCTGGACTGGAGGAGGGCCAGTCTTCGTGCCGGATGAAGTCGATTTCACGCGCCGCCAGCCAGTCTTGTGTGCTCTTCGCTCTATGAGCTGGCGCCGAATCTTGTTGGAATACCCAGTGCCTGTTATTGAACATGGTATGAGAAACAGGTTCCACAAGGTTCGTCAGGACTGTATTTTAATACACAACTGCATTCGTTTTTACACCTTTCTCACAAAAATGTACCTCTGTTAAGCCCCAATAAGAAACTCCCAACCATACCATGAGCGAGGATGGAAAATGACCTCGTTGGACACGCGGAATACGGTTGCTCGCTTCTTCACTACTGTGTGCGTACACCTTATCATTTTGTTTGTTGTAGCTCTCTTCTAAGGTAAAAATTTTTTCATCCGAAAAAAGAATTTCCCGATATTTTTTCCCGCGTACCGCTTCAACAAAGCGCGGCATCTCTTCAGTCTCAGGTCCATTAGACGAGCATTCAAACGATGTCCTGTTTTTCTTCGATATGCCCGAAGCCCTAAGTCTTCTATTAACACCCTTTTCACCGTGGTTCTGCTTAACCCCATCTGAAGGGCCAACAGTTTCTGCTTACGTTTGGGATTTCTTTGAATTCGCGCCTTCACAGCTTTTATCACTGCTGGAGTCCTAACAGACCGAGGGCGACCACTTCTTGACCTGTCATCTACACTAGTCTTCATTGTATCGTTTGATGGTACGATAAACGAATCTTTTGGTTATATTAAAATTTTTCAGTATGTCAAAAATTTGAATTGGCGCGTTACCGCAACGATGCAACGCAATAACTGCAACACGGTCTTCTTTAAACGTCCACTCCATATTTAAAAATGAGTAAAATTTTAAAAAGTATACAGTTTTATTTTCATGAACAATTCGAAATTCGAATTCAATAAACTTTTTTGTGGCCAGCATTCTAAAAAAAAAGATTTTACTGTGTGACAATGCTTATGACCTGACTAGGTACAGTGTTTCTTATTTTCTCGGTCTCTAAGATGGTTAATATAACTTTTGACTGTTAAAATAAAGTTTTTACTAGTTAAATGAAATTTAATTATATTGAATAAAATTATCATATTACAATCCAATTCATTCATAACAATCCACAATTTCATAACTTAACGATTTATGTTAAATTTGTCCCATATACCTTGAAAGTCAATCAACTTGTTTTCGACAAAATGACAACCTATAGAATACACGTACTCTGCTAAAAATGTCAAAAGAGCAGTTGATGGTATCTAAAAAAATTCTAAATTCTAAAAATTTTTTGCGTGTATCGACATCACTAAATAAGCACTAAATTATTGATGCTTCTATTTGGCTGCGTTTGATCAAGCTATTTTGGCGTGAAATTTAATTTTTCAACACTAAATTAGCAATAAATGAGCACTAAATTATTGGCAAAAATTTTAGTGATTTTGCCCGAATGACCTTTCCAGTTTTATAGAAAAAGTGAACCCGAGGTTACAGACACATTCCGTACACGAGGTTCAATACGCGTGATATGGGTCGTTTTTAGTTTACGACCCGTTTCCCCATTCCGACAGTGGTTCAAGCCGAAGTTCGTACCTCCGGCTCACATCGAGCCCTCCCCCCCCCCCTTTAGCTCGAGGAACCGCACTCTAAAAGCAGGGGCCCGGGTACCTCGGGACGACTGTTGGAAATTGTTGCACTCAATAGCTCTAAGTCCTCACTTACGAGTCTATTTTGATGAAGCTGCAAAGGCCTCAGGGCCAACAGCATACACTTACAGAAAAAAAATCTACGGACACTGAGTTAGAATTCATTTGTTATATTCATAAATAAGATTTATTATTTTTAAGTATTTATTACATTTCTAAAATGAGATGTAGAGTTATGTATACTAAAATTTAGCCTTCCAAAAATTGGACCAGGTCATTGCTGTAACTAGGCAGTGGCATAAGAAGGGAGGAGGAGAATTCGCCTGTCCAGGCGGCAGGATTTAGTGGGTAACATTACCGAAGAATAAAGTCAACTACCCGCTTTAACGGCATTTTTGGATCTACCAGCCCCGTTAACTACGCTACGCCACCTATACACCCGTAATTGCATCAGATTAGATATACCACAAATCGTCAAAGAATCGACTCCTATCACGGATGATTCGCAGTGCTATCAAAAATATCCTAATTTACATAGAGAAGAATAGAATGGAATAATTTTTATTGAATATAGATTACAGTACATCATCATTCATCATCATTACAGCCCTTCACAAGTCCACTGCTGAACATAGGCCTCCCCCAAAGAATGCCACAAAGCACGGTCCTGAGCCACCTGCATCCATCGACTTCCTGCATATCTTACCAGGTCGTCACTCCATCTAGTGGGGGGACGCCCTACACTTCGCCTGCCGGTACGAGGCTGCCACTCGAGAACCTTTCTTCCCCATCGGTTGTCGGTTCTTCGAGCTATATGGCCGGCCCATTGCCACTTCAGCTTACTAATCCGTTGGGCTATGTCGGTCACTCTAGTTCTACTGCGGATATCCTCATTTCTGAGTTTATCACGCAGAGAAACTCCGAGCATAGCCCTCTCCATAGCTCGCTGAGCGACCTTGAGCTTCCTCATCCGGCCAGCAGTGAAGGACCACGTCTCAGTTCCGTATGTCATCACTGGCAACACGCACTGGGTGTACAGTCTCGTTTTCAAGTTTTGAGGTATACCTGACGAGAAGATGTGCCGTAATTTCCCGAACGCTGCCCAACCGAGTTGAATCCGTCGATTGACCTCTCGGTCGAAGTTGGACTTACCTAGTCGGACTATTTGTCCCAGGTAAACATACTCGTCAACAACTTCGAGCTTAGTGTTCCCAACAACTACCAGTATAGGTGTGACATGGACATTAAACATGATCTTTGTTTTGTCCATGTTCATCTTAAGACCTATCCGTTGGGAAACACTATTGAGGTCATTGAGCATAGTGCTTAGGTCCTCCAGCGATTCTGCCATAAGGACTATATCGTCGGCAAATCGAAGGTGAGTGATGTACTCGCCATTGATGTTGATACCGTATCCTTTCCAGTCCAGAAGCTTGAAAACATCTTCCAATGCAGCGGTAAAGAGTTTCGGGGATATGACGTCACCCTGTCTTACACCTCTCTGCAATTGGATAGGTTTCGTACTCTGGTTC